ATTAATGATACAAAATTATTGGGCATTGTACAAATTAAAACTGTAATCGATCGTTTAGAATTTCTAATAATAATCAATGCGGCTTGTATTTTACATACATATCTTATTGTGTAATCCGACCATTTTCTAACCAAATATAATCTGCTGCCGTTTGTTAAAGAAAAATACAAACAAATTTTCTTGTTTTCTCATCTTGATTTTTCATTTTTATGTCAAGTCCCGCCGTGTAATAGGATTGATACCATTTAAATTTGAGTATTATTACAATGAAAAAGCTAGCGTTAATAACGTGCTATGCAGGACGTTTTAATCGTTATCATGACATTTGATCAAGTGATTGATGCTTTTACCAATTGTAACATTAACTGATTTTTATTTTGTTAAAAACAAATATGCTTACAATAAGAAAACAAAGTGTAAAAATAAACGGAACTAGTCGTCCGTAATTTTATTATTCGTAAAATAAAATAGTAAGCGGGAATATAAAATGGAAAGGGTGGCTCTCTCAACATTAAAACCTCAAGGGGTTAATTCAAGGGTTGTTACTTATCATTGTGGTAAAAACTGTATAATAGAATCATATAATGAATTGGGGATAATTCGCGTGCAGTTTATTGTACTATACAAGGGCCAATAGTGGATTACCCAACTCCAATGACGAATGTAAAATGTAAATAAAGGCAATTTAAAGAACAAATTATACTACTGGCAAAATGACACTACCATCTCCTTCTTCTTCTTGGAATTCCCCTCCTAACGGAGGTTGGAAATCATCATATTAATCTGGATTTTCTCTTGGGCCGCCTTGAATATTTGGTTGTTGTTGTAATCAAACCATTGCCTCAAATTTTGCATCCGTGATGATTTTTACTAATGTGGTGGGTCTTCCGTCTCCTTCCACATCGCAGTGATACAACCATACCGCTGTACTCAGCTCTGCTTGCATTACTTTAAGACTAAGCCATTTCAATGTCATTCATTTTCCGGCTCAGCTTGATACTGATGCAGCTGCTACCCTGTATCAGATTGCTTTTGTCGCCTCTTACGACAGGAGGAACATTTCGTGGTCCTATTCTTGCCCGGAACCACACGGGCCATACATAATAAAATTTGTAATACTATCAGGAGTCATGTATTATTACAACAAGTTATGTACAATAAATATCTAAGTGTTAAAAAATGAAAATATAGCCATAGTTGTGACTAATATAGACACTCAAAATACTAGTAGTTGCTCAGCTGAGTGAAAGGTGTTGAGGTCAAATGAAAGAATAAAGAGTTCTCGATTAAATTGAAAATAAAATAAAAGTACCCTTGTGTGACAAAATAAAACACTTAAGAGGATGAAAGCGGACGGATCTTAAAGAGTTTTATACAGGCAATATTAAAAAAAAAGGGGTATTAATAAATGTATTATTTTGAACTTTTACAATTTGTGTTGATGAGTAAACGTAATTTTTATTGATATACATGCATTTTCATCATCAATAAACCCTTTATCGTATATTATGATCCTACTTGCTAATTTATATTTATTTGGGTTAACAAGAAAACCCGGCTATCGTTTTCTACTTGAGAGGTAAACGCGGATAAAACATCTAAGTTAGATTTGTTGTGCCCGATTGTGTACATATATTGCAGATAGCGTGTGCTATAATTCTTGTCAAGTACAGTAAGAGTTGAAAACATATTATGTTTGTAAATGTGTTGACTCGGCGGCGCATGTAAACCGCCGTTACACATTTTCATTATTTCTATTCCAGTGCCCATCAAGAATTAAATTCGGGGCGTACCGCTCACTCTCCGCGGGTCTTCTACTCTGCAAATTAACGTTTGTGTTATGTCGTCCACAACAATGCTGTTAAATAATAACCAAGTCCTTTCCTACTCCGCCTCCTCTAGTTACAGTTTTTTTGTTGTATACCTACTATTTTTTCATTCTATAGCTCTGATTCTGCTCCTACTGAGCCGATCCGTGCAGCAGTCGTTACTTTGTTATTATTATTTTTATTATAATTATTATTATTGCACCGATTGTCCCGAGGTATTGATCCGGATTTAATCGTATTTGAAACCGCTCTAGTGCTCTAGCTGCGTGCGGTGTTTTACATATGGTTACATTATTATATATTATAGCGAAGCGCGCCACAGCCATCGTCGTTCTGCACTGATAGTTTCCTTGTTTATTGTGCAAAACTTCTATAGTTACTTTTTACATCAAGGAATAAAAAATGCAATCAAAAACGATAAGGATGTACCTACAACAAAAAATATATATATAATATGTGGTAAATTATAATCAACGGAAAATCTTATCAAAACCGTATAATCGTGTATCAATAACCAACAATAATATATTAGTGTGGTAAGTACCACCGGGAAGTATGTACCTGGTGTAATTTAAACTATTTGGAACTGCCTGGACAGACAAGGACATTTATGTTTAACCTATAATTTCAATATTCATTTCTTGTAACAATATTATGCTAGAAATTTGTTAATTAAAAAATAATTGAAGACATTTTTAACATTTAACATACACTAAAGCAGTTCTATGATGCTAAGGGTAGAAGAGAATCTAAAGATATCTATAAGAATAAAGATCATGTCTTTGATCATTTAACAGTAAACACATATGTCTGACATAATAAGACGTGAAACTAGGTAGTATAGATATAACAGTTATCGCAAAGCACTGTGCAACTCCTCCCCTAGCATAAGTTCTGGTTATTTGGAAGGAACATAACAATTTAATAAATGGAAAAATGTATACATACACATGTCCATGGGCGCATATCCATGGGCGTACTCCATATGTAGACACTAAAAAATAAATTTAATTATAGTGTTTGACCTGACTTATAGGCTATAGCTAAGGAATAAGTATGGTTTAAAATTTCAAGTAACTATAATTGTGTTTGACCAAAAATGTTAATTCTTAACGAAAAAAATGTAAATGTTGACTATGATGCCTTAACACTACAGAGTTGTAAAAATAACATCATACCTAATACTTACTAATTGAATAAAATAATTTTAAGAATCTTGAATGCAAAAAATGCGTAAGATATGTAGGCAAGACGTATAGATTACCTATACAAAATTAAAATACATTATATTACTATTTCTACATTTTTCTTACATTTAGTTGTTTGGCTGCTCAGCCATAGGCCAGATACGGTTCAGTTGCCTGTTGCATCGAGTTGCAAATAGCCGTTTGTTTTAAAACTTGAAAGTAATAAAAAAACCTCCCGTAGTCCATAAAACTGGGTTCATGCAAATACATTTTTGGTATCATTTTTACAACTTAAAATCGGTGAAAAAATTCAAAGTATTATTATCATAGGTTCAGTACTTCAATACTTCAATCCTGTTTTGATTCTTTAATGCATTGGAATTTAGAAATATAACACTAAAATATTGTTTAATTAAAAAAAAAACATTTCAAATTTAACGTTAAGATTTAAGAGGTCATTTATTATGCTTTCCGCGTCATATATTTACTCTATCTACATATCTTCATATATCGTTATATTTTATCTCATCTATCCCTTCGGCTTAAGTCTGTCTTTACTTCTACACTTCTATCTCTACTCACTTATATCTTTTATTTGTTTTGTCTATTGACTTTTCTGACTCCTTGCATCTTGAATAAATGTTATATATTACATTACTCAATTATTTTGAGTTACTATAACTAAGCTTACGATTTTTATGAATAAATTATTTTACTCAGATATCCGATGTAATAATGTTATTATTAACGGTTACTTTATAGTAAATATACTGATAACACATAATTACGTAATACTTACTTATTTTTAAAGAATATATCGTTTAACTAATATTTAGTACAGAGTCGACATTAATGCACATATTAAATATTTCTCAAAAAGTAAGTATTCTAGAACCTCTATTATAGAGTCATATAAATACTAAAATTTGGTTGTATAGGTGATAACCCAAACACTTTATAGTTTATCTACCTAATATTAAGTTAAGCCAACTAAATTAAATTTTAAATTAATAATGCCAATAAAATAATGCTATTAGTAATAAATAGTTATTACAGTAAAGTCAGTATTACTTTTTTTCAATGTATATTTATAACGCGTTCTATATTGAACTAGCTATCAATTAAACTACTTAAGTTATTTCTATTTTTTGCATTTGACTAAAATTAATGGTATTAACAATATTTGTATAAGTATGAATTAATATTCATTAGGCAGATTTCACGTATTATTTCGTTATTTTTACTTATACATTTTTTTTGTTTTGATTTTATACCGTTTAATTAATATTCTAATAATAATGAAGCCAAACTACTAATTTTCAGTACAACATCCTAACATCGTATAACATACTAATTTTCCGTATACAAAAAGTTGCTATCGCAGAAAACATAATACTCGTATACTCTGTACACGATTAAACACTGAAACTGGCTGGATTCTTTAAGGTGTTGTATAATTTGAATAATGTATATAACATATAATTGTGGTTTAGGTACAACACTACTGACCGTGTTACTGCGGTGGACTTTATAAAATACAATTAGACGGCCATTTTAATTTTAACAATCCTAATATCAGCTTGCGGCCAAAAGATGACACGACGTGAGAATTTTCACACACTTTCACGTGAACTATTGCTATGGAAACTAATTGACTGCACATTTGCAGCATAAGACGAATTTTTTTTAACAAAATTAACCGAATAACTTACCGTATTTAAACGTTATAACTTGTATACCTGTTACCTAATATACATTATGTCATATGACTCCTGTCTCTTACTATAAAAGGAAACAGTCAACTCAATATAAATTTACAGATTTTTAAGCTTACATCAATAAATATTTATAATTATTTAACTTTACATAATGTACAAAAACAAAAACGTATACATATAATATTAATGTGTTTTACAAATTTACATTTAAAACCAACATAATTTAACACTATATAAATAATAACGCTACGTAAGGTCTGTTCTGCTTATTCATAATATCATATGCATTCTTATCAATTTAGCAAAACTAAAATATATTATATATTTTTTATTACATAGGCTATGATTGCAATTTTCATTAGTACACTATTACACAAATCATTTTGGAAACACAATTTAAAAGTTCTAAACAATTGTTTTATTGCTTTTGGGTTATACTGAATTTTAACGTGTAGAAAACAAAAAGATAATTATACATTCAATATTGAGGTTGACCGATAAAAATATTATAAATAATTCATTTTTTTAGCTTTCAAATAAACTTATATAATTATAAAAATAATAATATAAACTTTGCTGAGGAATAAACGGTTTCGGTGACTTGTGATATTTAAAATGATCAAAGGAAGTAGTAGTTTTTTGGTTTATTACCATTTCTCAGTAACAAAACACGTACCAAAATGCATTACCAAGCTCCTCCTTAGTCGACCATTTCGGTTTTGATTGGATCATCCGCGGGTGACGTATATTGTTGAGGTGGTGGAGTCGGCGTCTGATTCCGGTCAACTATCACGGTGGGCCAAGGGCCGATCATCCTTTGCAGGCCCAACGTCTGACGGAAAGCGTGCAACCGGTGTGCGGCTTGTATCTGCTGTTCGTAATACCGCTGTAACAGACCCGGTTCCCAGGACCGAGCTTCATCTTCCTCATCGCTGCTGCCGGTAGCGGTCCGCTGTCGTTTTGGGGGATCCGGGGCCAACAGTGAAGCCACGTCGAACTGCCGTTTTTGAGGCCTGGCCGTCGGGACCGATTGCACTGGCTGCGGCTGAAAAAAAAACGGCGGTGGTATGGTCGGCGGCGACGGCCACATTGCCGGTGACAACGCTGCTACGGACGGTGACGGAGGCGGTGGCGGACTGGGTGAATCGTTTCCGTCGTCGTCCACGGCCAGTCCCATATGCCGTCGGACCTTGCGTTGCGCTTTTCGCCGTCTGAAATCGCCTTTCTTGAAATCGTCCACGTTGGCCGGATGAATGGCCCAGTAGTGGCCTTTACCGTTGGCGCTTCGTCCAGCTTTGACGAAACAGTCGTTCAGCGACAGATTGTGCCGGATCGAATTTCGCCAGCCGGGTCCCCGGGTCCGGAAGTACGGATAGTTGTCCAATATATATTGATAAATATCGGACAGCACTAGTTTGCCTTCGGACGACTGGAGTATGGCCATGGCGATTAGCCCGATGTAGCTGTGTTGCGGTTTGGGTTCGTCCGGATTCTGGCCGCCAGGATGAAACAACGCGACCGGAAACCTGGGGGGATAAATTCCAGTGGCGGCCGCCGGGTAAACAGGACAAACGGCACCCCACCCGCCGGCCGATAGTCGTAGCCGTTCGGCCTGCAACGCGTAGTTGTACAAATGCAAACGGTAACGGTTCAAGTTGGCCTGCGAGTCGGACTCCGGGCCATCGTCGGCAGGCCTGTTACACATGACGGCGGTACGGACGCGAATGAATCGGAGAAATAATGTCCGTGATACGACGGACTCAGTGTACGCCTACGAGGAGCGCCCCACCACCACCACTGCGCGTTCGCGGTACAACAACAAATACACAAACATCGCAGTGGCGGCGGCGTACGTGCGTAAATACAAATTTGTTTTATTTTTATTTTCTATATGTGCAGTCATCAGTACACCGTATACATTTTGTTTCGATTTCTTGCACTCCTCCCCTTCCGTCGCTTCTCTCTCTCTCTCTTTCTCACCCTTCTTGTGTATCCAAGTATAAATGGGTGTGAGACGTGAGTATGCGCGAACAATTGTGTATGTGTGTGTCTACATTAGTTTGTATTCATATATGCTTAATGTGTACCTTTGTGTGTGTATTTGAGCAAGAGAAAACACGAGTAAACATTATTGCCGGGAGAGTTTTGGGCGTGACGCTCTATGAGTTCTCCCATTGGTTAACTCGAGAAACGCCCTATTCCGCCGCGTCGCTCGGGGGACCGTTCCCCGACAAGTAAACTGGAGCGCATAATAGCCCCTTTCTGTACAACGTTATCGACGACGTAGGTACGTGGTGGCAGTGTGGTGTGGAATCAAACCGACGGTGAGGGAGGAGCGGATTAAAGGGTATGGTTGCAACGAGACAGATTTCGCATATTACCTATAGTCATATTACCCACTTATCCTGAAGCTATCCGACAAAAGTAAAATTTTAATTAACTGTACCTATATTTAATTTGAAGAAAAAATGTAACCTATGGCAAACTAAACAATTCCAACATACAGTAACGCATCTCCTTTCCGTTTTTCCTACATCTTACATTCCCAATATTTTTACCGGCGTTATAAAAGTTGTATACAGCTAAATAAACAAACAACAAATAAAATATTTGGGAACCAATGATTTAAAAATGTATATTTTATAATTTACAAACTGTCCTGACCCGGCGTTGCCCGAGATTTAGTCTGCCAGGGCTGAGTAAAATAATTTCCATTCCCCCATTTCTACCCCATCCCTCATCTCTAATCTCTAATCTCCTATCTCTTATCAGCGTGACAACGTTTCTGTGACACTGTTTTCGGTTATTATGCCCTCCTCTTATTCAAGGGTCCCAGTCCCGATCCCAGATCCCGTTCCAACAGTTAAAAGCTTGCCCAGAATCGCGGTACATAGAATCGGCCTGTTCCTTTAATCATCACCTACCATTTGCTCGAGTACCGTGGCTACCAAGTGTTTATTTTGGGTTACCATGATTACAAACATTTACTTTATTTACATATCGTATTTAAGGTACAAAGGTCGTGTTTGAGGTCATCCTTGGGGTGGAATTTTCGAAAAGTACTATGCCAGTTATCTTCGCGGGAGTGTACTCAACAACTTCTCAAAATTTCATTGCGATCGAATGAACGGTGTACTAATGCATAAAGGATAGACAGGCAGACAGATATTCATTTATATATATTTATAGATAACTCACGAGTGAATATTTAATTTAATTTAAGTTTTAACCGAAAAGGATAAAGTCAATTTTAATCGAAAAAGTTGCCACCCTAGAATATTACTCCCAGAAATTTTGGACTTTCTTACTCGTACTAAGTATACACCGTTGATGACATGTAGAAACTGTTCTTTAACCGAGTTCTTATAACATTTTGTGTTACACTACAATGGAATGCGCGTATTAATTATATTTAATAACAATAAATACGTTATTCATGAACAAAAAAACATATAATACAATTATTTTAAATAATAGCAAATATGTAGTTTTTAATTTAGAATCATTAGGCAAATTAAACCTAGTGTTAAGGCGATTGGGTACCGGCCTTATTTAAGGAGTTGTAGGTAGACAATTTCTGTTTTTTTTTCTGTTACGCGTTGTCGTTGTGTGCGTAGTAAATGAACATTAGTGTGAGTGTTGTTATCTTACCCTCCCGTCCTCGCACCCGTCTAATTCATTGTTGAAATAACTCTCGTACGCACACGCACAAATCGGTTAAAACAGCTACTGTTCAGGATTCGTACAATTTTATGCTGGAAAACTACTAATTTTCCTTCAATCAGTCCGATCGTTGTATTGATGCGACAAGACTTCTGAAAATCAATTTTAGTTCAGTGTGAAGTCTACTTGAGATCGGTCAGGCCACTTTTTCAGTTTCATTTAATAGCATTTTTTAAACACTACTACAAAATATAACTTTTTTCAAAAAATGTAAATCAAACTTGTGGAATTTTGAGGGCAAAATTAAACAATGTAAGTTTAATTGTAAACAATGTAAGCTGACCGATCCAAGTAGACTTCATGCCGAATTCATATATATTTTCAGAAGTCTTATCGCATCAATACAACGATCTGACTGATTGAAGTAAAATTGGTAGTTTTTGACGGATAAATTAGCCGGAACCCAATGACCTTAATGGTAGTTCACACTTTTCATCCCAGCCACTGAAATGGGCTCAAAAAAGTTACATTTTATATTGCGACTATTTTTGTTTAAATATCTTTCAAATGTCATTTATCTTTATTCGTTCGTTACTGTTCAAGTCCTATAAATATTATTAAAGAACCTATTTTAATTGTTTGCATACCCTATGGTTAAGACTACGGCTGTTGTTTTTGATTGAATTGCAACATTAGGATATTTAAAACAAGTCCTTAATTCGTTATTTTTAAACCATCACAAGTAATTATACTGTAAAAAAGAACGTTAAAATAAATTTTGTTTTGTTTTGAAACTTTTATAATGAAAAATATATTTTGTACTATTTGAAAAGTTTTACAATTTATATAATATAAATATTGTATAGTTCAATCTATTCCTTAGTATTATTATTTGAGAAATAGTATTATTGTGTAATATAGAATTTCGCTCTTATAAATATAGGCGTATTTATTTTTTGAATTTCTCAACAATGCGCGTTTTAATGACTCTAAATTAGAAAGATTTTCATGTTACCGCATTTGTAAACTATTGTAATATTTATTAATATGTAATAATATTTTGTAAGATTCACAAAATAAACAAATAACGTACTAATTATAATTGGTGCATTGAAATAAACAACTATTATACTATTTATAATTCATAAATTACGTGTGTAATTTATGAAGCAAACTTAAAGTCTTTGTTTTATCAAATATTCTATGTATAGTATTATTATATTATAATTTATAAATGCATGTTTTCAAAATAGAAAATTTGAATTATATCAGGCCTATATAAAAATAAAATATCTATTATCGTGTCTATGTGTGTCATGCATATATAGGTACTTATTATTAAATGTACTATATTTTACATATTGTCATAGAGTCTAATGTACATACATGTTACAACATATACCCAATGATTATTATTATCTATGCACCATTGGTTATTATGTCTTAGTTCGTTTTGTATTTACATTGTTTTTCAGAACATTTAAATATTGCACACAATATGTACACAAACCACACCCAGTACAACAAATCGACAACCTAGCTTGTAGTTGTATGTATTTATATGTACATATGCATGTATACATATTATATATAATAAATGTATGTGCAAAATAATAACATGTCCGTTTTACACAACCATAATGACAGGCTGGCAACAATAACGGCGTTCATTGTGGCAATATTGAATTTGAAAGCGGAGCCCGCCTTTGAACTAGGCCATATGTGACCGAATAATGTATAAGGTCACTTTTTATTTTATATAATATTTAGTTCTGCGAGGGAGACTGCAGTGTGTACAATTTGGTTATTTTTGCGTTGGCACCCAATCCTATACTTAAACCCCTTTTTGTCCTGCGGTGAGTGAATGTTAAAAGGGATAATAAAAAGTATATGTATATTGTGTAGTATATAATTTACCCTGTGTTTAGCTAAGTAAATCGTTTACGAGCTACTATAATATACAGTTTATAAGCTGTACTGCAGAATAATGTCCCGTGTAATCGAACGTTAACTGTAGCTATACATACGAGTAATAGTATATTAGCATCATAAATGTATATATTTTATTTTTATGCATACTAATACAGTGTTACAACTAAAACGAATTATGCAACAACAAAAAACATGTAAAATCAAGCGATATAGTTCCGTTCCTTGCAATATAAGAACATTTTAAAAAGTTAATATAAATAGGTACAAATTATACTCGGACATTTTTATAGTGCCATTTTTTAGTGAGTTATTCTATCCGGAATATTTTTTCCTGGAAAAATTCCATAAAAAATCCAAATTGGATAATTTAGTAAAATAAATTTATTTTTTATTTTTTCTTTAGGTCAAAAAGAGTTTTCATTATTTAGAAGCACATATTGTTTTAGTGGTGTAAATACCATTTTTTTTTTGGGTAAAGCAACAAATGTAAATTTTGGCACAAATGCGTACCTAACCAGATAACCCTGCATGGAATATTTATTGGAGGATCTACACTGCGGAAATTCAAATTATGGAGATTTACCTAAAAAGAGTTTTTAAAAAGATATTGTTTTAAATGAATGTTATTTTTGTACGGACTATAATTGCGCAGAGAGCTACTGATACATCATGTTTTTCTATTTATTTGATCATTTTTAAACTACCGTATCATTTTTATAATTATATATTATAGATAACAGGGGCATATTTAGATATTATTTTTTTTTGGGGGGGGGGGGGGCTGAGGCATTGAGTAAAAGAGCTGTGTAAAGAGTTATTTCTAAATTCTGATCCAGAAATAAACCTTAAAAATTTGGCCAAACTTAACCATTTCTCAACCTATTAAAAACAAGACCTTGAAATTAAATGTAAAACTTTAATATTATAATTCTGATAAAATTATTATTAGTTACAAAATCTTATGTAAGGCCAACTGTAAAGTATTAAGTTATCATTAAAAATCAGTTTTTTTGTAAATATAAACCAAATTTCGTTTAAAATATAATCATTGCAAAAAAATAAAATATATATACATAAGAATAAAAAAAATATTAAAATGAAATGGAAATGCTAAGTTTCTAGTACAAAGAATTTTGTTTT